CAACACTTTGGCAATGTTTCCAGAGCCAGGCGATGACTCAAGATGATACCTAAAATACACTGTTTTCTACATACCAGATGCTATGCTAACATTATTTCAGATGAGATAGGTACTATTGTTATTCCGTATTACAGATAAAGACACTGAAGAGGGAAGAAGCTAACAGTTCAAGTAACTGGCCAAGGGAAGGGCCAACCTCTAGAGCAAGATTAATGAGAACATATTGGTTTATTTAGAACAAACCCTTCTAGAACTCTTACTTACTTTTTATTGTACTGCATTTTTATTTAACGGGGGTGTGGAATTTTTTTTCAGGGTGTTAAAATTTTCGTGTTGTCCAGGCTTTAGGCAGAGGTCTCAAAATCTGAGAATAAATACAACAGGTGTCAAGGTTGCTCACATTTTAAATAAAGATGCCAATCTTCCCATGCAGGAAATGCTGAGATTGACGAAGGACTCCCGGCTGGATAAGCCTCCAGTACTGACACCAGTGAGACAAAGAACTCAATGCAGAATGAGATGCTGGTGTGAGAATACCTTTGCAGAGTTGTGAAGGTGCTGTGACATCTCCCCTCTTCACCAAGGAGAGGGTGTGTTAGTTACATACTGCTGCATAACAAACTGTCCCACCACTTAAGGCACTTAAAACAACAAACATGTATTATCTCTCACAGTTTCTGGTCAGGAATTTGAGAGCCACTTAGCTGAATGGTGCTGGCCTACAGTTTCTCATGAAGTTGTAGTCCAGACATTATCTGATTAATCAAGCTTAGGGCACATGCACATACTCCTATTGTTAAGAAGGCTACAAAAAGTAAGTGTCTCACTTTCTGTAAGCAGTGCTCACCACTACCAGGACAAACCATGGGGAATTTGCAATGCAGAAAGAGAACTCAGTGATGGACAGCAGGAAAAAAAACCCCACAAAAACATCAAGCACATACTCACCCCTTTGGCTGCCCAACACCAAAATAACCATTTGTTCAATGCTCACACTTCTGTTAAAAGAAAATCACAGGCCAAAAGATGCACTCACTTGTGTTAATGGCCACACAGCAACAATTCAAGACTTAGTACCTAATCTGACTGTATTTTAGCGTCCCTGCTCCTGCCCCCACCAGGAATGTAACCTTTAACCAGCCAACATGTAATTTCCTGGTCAACACTAGGCATTTTACTGATAGGCCTCTTCTGTTACCCTTGGGGAGGTGACCTTGCCTAGAACAATGGATTCTCTGCTAATAATTTTCTGGTTTCCACTCCCTTTCTACCTCTGAAAACCTTTCCTTCTCTGCAGAGATCCCTACTACTTTCCAGATGGGCTGCTGCACAATTCATGCAATGATTAATAGAGCTAATTTCATCTTTAATATTCTCTCTGTTGAATTTTTGTTATTCAACACTTCACAAAAAATTGTCATCTAAAATATTGCAACTCACTTTCAATCAAAGAGGCACTCTATCACCCCCCAAGGCAATTAACCTGATGTTCCATCTATCTATCCCTTTCTAAGTCTAGAACATCTAGGTGGTATCTACTCTTCTGCAACTTCTGGACTAATTAATGAGGTTTCAGCAATAGCACACCCTACATACAATGGTGACGTAAAGGGTAAAGAAAGAAAATGAAAATCAAAACATATCAAGTATACATGATCCATCACAAAAGGAAGTACAAGATGACAGCTCTCATTTCTCCCCCTATCAGGACTTCACCTCCCTTTATGGCTTCCTTTCTCCACTAACCATTCCAAGTTCCCTTTACCTTCAACGAATACCTTCATTTCTAAGGGATCTGAGAGTCTGATGGACCTGTTTGTTTAAAGGTACACCAGCAAAGCTATCTCTGCTTGATGACCAGGGCTATCCACTCCGGCCAATATCATGACCTTTTTCCCCTTCTCTTGCCAGTCCAAGGACACAACACATGGCAGTCTCCGCTACAAATCAGTGGAACCACTGTCCAGCTGTTGTTATAAGATTCCTTTGTTTTATAAGAAACCCCTAAATGAGCAAAGCCCAGATTTCAGAGATGGCAGTTAAATAAAAAATTTTAAGCAGGGTTCATTGGGTATAATCCCTTTGTTTCTAAATCCATTAATTCTGCCTATGGAAGTGGGATGGTTTTAAAACATAACCACAAATACTTTGACATTTCTCCCATTGAATAAAGGAACTACCTTAGATATATCCAGCCTTAACGACAAAGTCCTAATGAACTGAATGTGGGTTGAAGAGACCCTGCAGGACTTTCGTGGTTTAGAAAAGGCATTAGAGTTTCCACCCAGGTATCTCTCTTTTGGGATCCTTGTCCTGGGAACCCGGCTACTATGTTGTGAGGAACAAAGCAGCACTGTGGAAAGGCCATGAGCAGATGTCCGGCCACAGAGTCAGCATTAGTCACCATACATGTGAAGGAGTGGACCTGTAGATGATTCCAAACCCCAGCTTTTTTAGCTGCCCCAGCGGGCAACAAGTGGAAAATGGACAGATAAGCTATTCCCACTAAGCCTTGCATGAATTTTGAGATTTGTAAGCAAAGCAAACGTTGTAGTTGTTTAGACCAGTAAATTTGGGGAAGTTATACAGCAACAGACAACAGGAACAGAAAGAAAGAGTACCAAATACTGGACACTAGTTCAAAGTATATGCTGCACCTATGAGAGCATCGAAAAGGGTTTCCTAGAAAACACCGTAACTAAATGTTCAGTAAAACCAGTGCTTCCAGGTGAATATACAGTTAGACCAATGAATTCTATGGGCAGCAGACCCCTGCCTTCTTTCATTACAGCCTGAATTTCTTGGTCAGAAGCAATATGGTGTCAGATACAACAATCGTCTATAAAGCATTCACTAAGTCCCCAAATGATGGCACTGACAGAAAACAGGCAAGCAGGGAAGACAGATCTAAGTCTAGAATAATGTTTATCAGAAAGGTCAAGTAACTACTCCCTCAGTGACCAGGGAGGGCCAATGTAATCTTTTTCCTACAAGTCGTTGGCTGATCCTCTTGGGAGCATGGAGTGTATCACCAGCTCAGGATTGGTCCTGCTACTGGTGACCTGGACCCTCAGCAGTGGTTGGATGATCCCATGCACATCTCCAATCCTGGTACTGCCATTGCATTCATGATTCCACTGAGCAAGCATTGGGTCTGGAAAAGGAGGCTGAGTTTCCACCACAGAACAGTTAGTTTCATCCATTCTGCAAGTTCATCACCATAGTCCTTCCCAAATCTTCCTTGTCACCAGTTCTCCAGTCTTGCTCTATCTACGTCCTTGACCAACTGGTCAGTTAGCTTCAGACCATGAATTATACCCAAGGCCATCTCTCCTTTCAGGTGAAGTGCACTTCAAAACATACTGCTGGACATTCTGCCCACTAAAAGGACTTCACAGCTTCCATGTTCTTCAGGTCCAAAGTCGGACCACAACCTAACAATCCCCTGGGCAGGTAGCAGCACACTGGGCACAGCAACAGGACTGCTGGTGCCTGGCCCCTCCCACCTGCACAAGAGGTATTTAAATAAATTTTTTTTTTATTGCAGATCTTGTTCTTCCCAACTTCCTTCAAAAGTTTCTCACTGATCTAAAAGACCCTGCTGGGTGTGGCCTCTGCCTACTCCTTCCCTTTGCTGTCTGTATACCAAGCTTTGGTCCTTAATTCCTGGAAAGTTCCATGCTTCCTCCTGCCACAAGATCTTTGCTCAGACTGTTACCTCTATTGCCTAGTTAATTCCATCCTCAGATCTTAGGGATCACTTGCTGTCTTATAACTATCTTTCTTCATTTATGTGTTTAATTATTCCTGCCTTACCCTGGGACTATTAGTTCTATAACTATGTGTACCACCACTGGATCCTGAATACTTAATATAGTGTTTAGTACATAACAGGTGCTAAATATTGTGCTGAATGAATACATTACTAAATAAATGCATTACTGTAATAAAATACAGTATAGGTAATTTATCTTCAAGTTATCATTGTCAGTTTTGCTTATGAAGCTTTCTACCATCAGTTTCTACTACTCTAATTCATATGCATTAATTTAAAAAGGCATTTATCTGGACAAGAACTTTTCTGAGCATTTTTTCTATACTAGCACAATGCAATAGATGTGAGCTACATATTAACTTTAAATATATTACTTGCTACATAAGAAGAAATTAATCATCTTATTTAACCCAATATATCTAAAACATCATTTCAACAAGTAATCAATAGAAAAACTGTGAAGTATTTTATACCCTTTTGTTCATCCTAATCCTTTGAAATTTGGTGACCTTTACCTCTCAATTTGTCTTATTTACCACATCTCAATTTGAACTAGCTGTATTTCAAGTGCTCAGCAGGCACAGGTGGCCAGAGGATGCTGCATGGGACAGTGCAGCTCTAAAGGATTCACTTCCCCAGGAAAGGGTCTGAGCATCCTCAGCACCTATAATTAGTGTCAGGAGAACTTCCTACTCAGACCTTCGCCCAGAGGGTGTCCCTGTCCCACCCGGATCCTAGGGGGTACCCATATCCTTCAGGATCTGGATCTTAGGAAAGTGTCTCTGGGAACAATTTTAACTAGTGTGTATTTTGGCCTTTCCCAAAACATTTCTGTTACTTAAATGGACACTTGGCTCTCCAGAAGATGGAGCCCACCTCATCTGCAAACCCTTCAGTTTCTCCTGCTTCGAGACCAGTTTATAATTCCTCACGTCTGGGGTACTGGCGCGGGGCCCGTCCCGGCCGCCCAGCCCCCGGTCCCTGCGCCGTGCTCAGGTCTTCAGGGGAGGCGCCCACACCTGCCCTCGACGGTGGACGCAGACTGCTCCTCGACCCAGAATGGCCTCTCTCGCCAGCGCCGAACTCACTCAGCGGCTAGTCGGGGACGCTACCTCACCACGGTGCCAAGTTCCGTCGCGACAAGCGGCGGGGTGGAGGATCTCCCGCAGTCCCTCCACCTGCTCTTGGCAAGAGGCGGAACTTCCGCCGAGTCGGCGCCACTTCCGGAAGTGACGTAGAAGTGTCAACATGCAAGATGGCGGCCCATCACCGGCAGAACACGGCGGGGCGAAGGAAGGTGCAGGTACGGGAGGCCGGTTTCAGACGTCCCCGACGCGGGGCAGCCCCAGGCTCACCGCCAGCGAGCAGAGGCCTCGGGCCGCGCCGGCCGGGGTGGCGGCTTGGGGCAGGCGGAACCGGGTGGGCCGGCGGGAGGGGTGGGGCCGCGCCGTTAACCGCTTGAGGAAGGGGTGGGGGGCGGCCAGCTCGGCCGGGCCGGACCTCGGGCGCGGTTCGGAGCCCGGGTCCTCAGTTGCCCGCTCGGGGCAGGCGTGGTTTGCAGGGCTGGGATGGTCGCGCAGCCCGTCCACCTGCCTCTGCCTTCCCTGGCTTTACTGCAGACTCTGCCCCCGCCGTCGGAAAGGAGGCCTTGGGGGCAGGCCGTACGTGGGAGCCCCCTGCCTTTCTTTATGTGGGAGCTTCCTCCCTGTGAGGTGGGGACGACGTGGGAGTGCGCTGGTGTTAGTGGGGAAATAACTTTTGTTTAGGAATTTAATTTCGTCTTCGCCATTTCTTCATTGTGATTCCTTGAATCTTTCTTGTTTCTATCCAGGGGTAAAGAGTTACCGATCCTTCTGTGTGTGCTTTATGCCTTTGTGAATCCACTTTTGTTTTGGATACATTTAAAAGTCATTGCTACTGTTTTGGATACATTTAAAAGTTATTGCTACTGTTATTTTCAGCGAGGAGAGGAATAAAAGGCCTATTACAGGTGTTTGCCTGCAGGTATATTGTAGTAGTAATGACGACACGGTGCACTTACTCACCTTTGCTGAACATTGGTTTAGTCCCCAAGATGTGCAAAGAATTGAGAGAATAGGAATAAGTAGCACCCGGGCTTTCTTTATGAAATACAGCATTCTATGTGATTCTACATTATATGTAATAAGTTTATAGGTAGTCAGGACAAACGGTTTCTGCAGTAAGGAACCCCATGAAATGGCTGTAGGCCATAAACTCTTCTGGGCAGTTCACGTCTTCGTTTTATTCATCTCATTGATCAGTAGAGTATCCTAAGCACTCACTAGATGTTTGTTGAATTGTATGAAATTAATAAGAATCTAAAATAACTTGCCTTGTTAGGTGATTTTTAAATGCATCAGTGACTGGATTTCAGTGACCCGAGAGTTCAAGCCAGGCAGTGAGAGTATCTGCTTCTGACTAAAATGTGACTCAGAATTCTAACCTAGTTGCATTCTGGGCACTAGAGTGGTACACTCCTTGGGATAGTCAGGAGAGTTAACCAGGCCTCTCAGTTTCTTACACGTAGATTTAAAAGGGAATATAAATGGGGAAAATGTGAATGAACTGCAGTTTGTGTGAAAAGACTGTTTTAATAAGCTTAATGTGAGCCATCTATGTAGAAGGAAGATGATAATTCCACTCTTTTTTTGCTGGTCAGTACAGAAGTAGAATTTGAGGTTCATTCAGCACTGAACACATTGTTCTTAATATGTTTCCTATGAAGAGCTTTCAAAAAAACTGAGATTAGCCTGCAGAAAGAAGATTCTTTGAATATTGTTAGCTGCTTTCAGAATGTGTCCCCAAGGTGTAGAACCAGTGTGAGAAACCACAGAGATTGATTTTATCTCAACACGAGGGAGAACTTTTCTTTATGGAAGTGTTTTTAAACTAGCACATGTTCATTGCAAAAAAAAAAAAAAAACAATTACAAAAGTATAAATAATAATTGTCTTCCACTCTTCTAAGAAAGCTACTATAGACAGTGTGATATATAATCCCAGACCAGGGTTTTGCACGCTGAGCACTGCTCACATCTTGGGCTGGATAATTCTTTATGGGGTCTGGTAGAGTGGGAGCGGCTGTCACATGCATTTTTTTTTCACACACCTCTCTCATTTTACTAAAAAAAATTCATCATTCCTATAGAAAGTTTGTTAACTTGCCACTAAGATCTAAAGGCAGAATTTACACAAAGGTATACATGTTACAAATTTGAACTAATCATCATTTTCATGTGAATAAACGACTAATACGTTGATAGTTTTGAGGTGTCTTAAATGTGAATAGTTCTATAACAGAATTATATGAACATATAAATGATTCTGTAGCAGACCTGTAGTAGACTTTAATATCTGTCACTAATCTATATATTGTACTATTTAAATTGTTTGCCTAATAGCATTGTTGTACTTCCTCTGTTTGTTTATTTATTTTATTGTGGTGTCATTGATACACAATCTTATAAAGGTTTTCCATGAGCAACATTGTGGTCACTACATTCACCCGTATTATCAAGTCCCCCCCACACACACCACCACAATCACTGCCCATCAGCATACCAAGATGCCACAGAGTCATTTCTTGTCTTCTCTGTGCTATGCTATATGACCCCCACACACACCATGTGTGTCAATCACAATGCCCCTTAATTCCCTTCTCCCTCCCTTCCCACTCCCTTCCCTTTGGTAACCACTAGTCCCTTCTTGGGGTCTGTGAGTCTGCTGCTGTTTTGTTTCTTCAGTTTTGCTTGGTTGTTAGACTCCACAAATGAGTGAAATCATGTGGTACTTGTCTTTCTCCACCTGGCTTATTTCCCTGAGCATAATACGGTCTAGCTTCACCATGTTTTGGAAATGGTAGGATTTGTTTTCTTATGACTGAATAATATTCCATTGTGTATATGTACTACATCTTCTTTATCCATTCATCTACTGATGGACACTTAGGTTGCTTCCATATCTTGGCTATTGTAAATAGTGATGTGATAAACATAGGGGTGCATATGTCTTTTTGAATCTGGGTTCTTGTTTTCTTTGAGTAAATTCCAAGGAGTGGAATTCCCGAGTCAAATGGTATTTCTATTTTTAGTTTTTTGAGGAACCTCCATGTTGCTTTCCACAATGGTTGAACTAATTTACATCCCCACCAACAGTGTAGGAGGGCTCCCCTTTCTCTGCATTCTCACCAGCAGTTGTTCCTAGTCTTTCTGATATTGGCCATCCTAACTGCTGTGAGGTGATATCTCAGTGTGGTTTTAATTTGCATTTCTGTGATAATTAGCAATGTGGAGCATCTTTTCATGTGCCTGTTGGCCATCTGAATTTCTTCTTTGGAGAAGTGCCTGTTAAGGTCCTCCACACATTTTTTGATTGGGTTATTTGCTTTTTGGGTGTTGAGGCGTGTGAGTTCTTTATATATGTTATATATTTTGAATGTTAACCCCTTATCAGATACATCATTTACAAATATATTCTCCCATATTGTAGGATGCCTTTTGTTCTGCTGATGGTGTCCTTTTCTGTACAGCGTTTTAGCTTGATATAGTCCCATTTGTTCATTTTTGCTTTTGTTTCCCTTGCCTGAGGAGATGGGTTCAGGAAAAAATTGCTCATGTTTCTATTCAAAAGATTTTTGCCTATGTTTTCTTCTAAGAGTTTTATGGTTTAATGACTTAACATTCAAGTCTTTGATCCATTTTGAGTTTACTTTTGTCTGTGGAGTTAGACAATAATCCAGCTTCATTATCTTACATGTAGCTGTCCAGTTTTGCCAACAGCAGTTGTTGAATAAGCTGTCATTTCCCCATTGTATATCCATGGCTCCTTTCTCATATATTAATTGGTCATATATGTTTGGGTTTATATCAGGGCTCTCTGTCCTGTTCCATGCCAGTACCAAATTGTTTTGATTTCTGTGGCTTTGTCGTAGAGCTTGAAGTCGGAGAGTGTAATCCCCCCAGCTTTATTCTTCCTTCTCAGGACTGCTTTGGCTATTCAGGGTCTTTTGTGGTTCCATATGAATTTTAGAACTATTTGTTCTAGTTCATTGAAGAATGCTGTTGCAATTTTTATAGGGATTGCATTGAATCTGTAGGTTGGTTTAGGCAGGATGGCCATTTTGACAAGATTAATTCTTCCTATCCATGAGCACAGGATGTATTTCCATTTATTGGTGCTTTCTTTAATTTCTCTCGAGTGTCTTGTAGTTTTCAGGGTACAGGTCTTTCACCTCCTTTGTTAGGTTTATTCCTAGATATGTGTTTCTTTTTGATGCAATTGTAAATGGAATTGTTTTCCTGATTTCTCTTTCTTCTCGTTCATCATTAGTATGTAGGAATGCAACAGATTTCTGTATATTAATTTTGTATCCTGCAGCTTTGCTGAATTCAGTTATTAGTGCTAATAGTTTTGGGGTGGATTCTTTAGGGTTTTTTTATCCTCAGTGTTCAGAATAGAGGCTGGCAATTGATAGATGCTTAGTATTTGTTGAAAGAATTGAATCCTGTTTTCCTTCTATTTACATCCAATTTTTTTTCTTTAACTAAAGTTTTTAATGTAATATGTCTTAGAACATACCAGTGTAAGTGCATCTTCATTCTTTAATGATCACATAGAATGGATGTCCCATAATTTATCTAACCATTTCCTTATTGAAGATACTATTTCTATTTTGTCCATCATATTAAAATTTCCTTCAAAAAATTAATAGAGTTATAATAAAGGAAGTCTCACCAAAGGTAAACAAAAGGACAGGGATAGATAATATAGAATGCATAAAAGATGAAGAATTGGTTTGAAAGTTCCAGCATCTGACTGATGGTAGCTTAAGAAGGAGCATAGAAAACAGATAGTTGTTATAAATGAACCCATTTAGGAAAATCTCCTGGTGCTGAAGTGCTGCAAGTATCTAGATTGAAAGGGCTTTCTAACACATATCAAAAGTAATGACAAAGGGACCAGAAATGATAAAATGACCCAAGAAGCACCAAGAAAAAGGAGAAGATCCTAAAAGCTTGGTCAAGGAAGGCAGATGGTAGTGCAGGAGAGAATGAAAATGGGATCACTTTAGAGGTGAATTAAACAGTGGCACTGAATAACGGGGCACTCCTGGGTGCCAGAGGAAGTTAGAGCAGTGCCTTCAAAAGCTCAGGGAGTCTGTTCTGCATTGACTTCCATATCTGGTGGAATACAGTGTAAAGGTAATAACTTTTCCAGGCATGCAAGGGCTGCAGTGACCACCCATGTACCCTTTCTGTGTTAGTGTCTCAAGGTCCTGAGAATGTACTTCAGCAAGACTGGGGCGTGAACAAAGAATGGAGACAGTAGGATTCAGGAAACAGTGCTTCTAACCCAGAGAAGCAGTAAAGGGAAAACACTAAAGGTGCGACAGCTGTGCCAGCAGACCTGGAGGGCAGCCAGCCCAGACTGGAATGAGGAGATGGATGATTCTGAGGGAAAGCCTTCTGGGGAGCAGGGAGGTGGCTTCCAGCCAGAGTATCTGAGAGGGTGCAGCTCTTAAAGACCATGAAAGTGAAAACAGAAAAGCCATGAAGAGGAAAGATGGGACCCTAGGGAAACCAAAGAGCTCTCTGAGGAAGGAGGTGTATGTGTAACACAGTACTTCGCTAGTCAGTGCACAGCAATCGCAGTCACAGTGTGGCGCTGATTATTTGCTCAACCAAAATCAGTGATGGATCCATCTGAGAAGAGTAGGGGAAGTTACTGAGGCATTTCAGGGCTGCACCCAACTTTGCCACATCATGAGTAAAATAGGCCATATCCAAAAAAGGTGAGTCAGGAAGGGGTAGGAGAAGCACAGTTTTTGAGATTGCTATTAACTATACAGAAGAAACATCCAAAGGTTGAAATTAGTTACCTGTGGGGTTAAGACTGGGAGTGGGGAGCCACACCCAGACAGCAGGCAGGTGGGTTTCATTACAGTCTCCCAGTACTCTGTGATTTTCTGAGTACAGTCAAGAATTCCTTGGATAAAAACTGAGTTATGAATTCAAAAATTAAGTAATATATGCTCACTGTAAAGCATTCGTATAATATAAAAAAGGCACCAGGGAGGGACAGTCATCACTCAAGTACAACTACTGGGAGTTTTATATGTATTTATCCTATCAAATTTGTGTGTTTGTATTTAAGTATATGTTTAACATCCTGAAACATTGTTACAATGATGATTATACACTACTGAGTTGGACCACACATACTTCACTGAAACTATACCATAGCTTTCTTCCTGTGTCAGTCTAGATCTACACCAGTGTTTTTAGTCATTAAATAGTATTCTCTTTTATATATGTATGCCAAAATGTATCCAGTAGGACACTTTTAATTATTTGCTGTTTTTAATCACACATCTGTAGCAGATAGCTAGCCTTGAAGAGGCTGGTCTCCACTCATTTTGCTAAGAATTACTTCCCACCTGGAATGAGGATCTGACATTACATTGTTATCTCTGACCCTTTCCCCCTGGACCAGATTATCTCTCAGAAATTTAAAACTTAAGATTCATATATACTGAGAGTCTCCAATAAAGGAAATGTACTGAGAGAAGCAGATAAACGGCCTTGAAGCCCCAGAAAGTTTGGGAGAGACTGAAGTTGAAACTGAAGCCGACTAGGTTCTTGGTGGCTTTCTAGCATCTGGGTCACACAACAGATATTTATTAAATGTCCATTAAATGCCAGACACTCTAATGAGGATACAGGGTTGGGAGGAACAAGGCAGACAAGTCCCTGGCTTTTGTGCAGCTTTTATTCTAAGGAGAAGATGTAACAGAGGAGGTAAATATGGAGTGTGGTAAGGATGGGGGGTAAGTGATTGGGGGAAGGAGATCAGGGAGGGCCTTAAAGAGGAGGTGGTCCTTCTGCTGAGCCTGAGGGTAAGAGTAAGTCAGATAGATAAAACTGAGAGATGAGTTTCCTGTGGGAATTGGAACTGTACATTTGGAGGCCCTGGAATGGGAAGGAGCTTGTGTGTTTAAAGGTGAGAAAGGAA